ATTCTTTAGTGGAATCATATACCTCCTGTGTTAGGTGGAGGTCCTGTATGCAGGTTAAGAACCCTCGTGAATGGTTGGATTTGGCTGCTGCTCCTCCCAGCAGATGTCAGGGTAGTTTAAATCCCCCATGACAATCATGTCCCTAGACGGTACAGCCTCTGAGAGCTGCCTCAGGAATTCCAAGTCTAGCTTTTCCTCTTGGTGTGGTGGTCGGTAGCAGACCCCCACCACCAAGTCCCTTTCCCCATGACTTCCATGTATCCTAACCCACAATGCCTCGATTATCTTCTCCTCTGATCCCATTTTGATTAGGGTAAATTTATAATGCTCCTTTACATAGAAAGCAACCCACCCCACCTTTCCTCCCTACTCTGTCCCTTCTGTACAACCTGTAGCCCTCAATGTGTACCACCCAGTCATGGGTAGGGTCCCACAAGGTTTCTGTTAGCCCCACTAAATCAAAGTTATTATCTGCAAGCAGAAGTGTGAGTTCTTCCTGCTTGTTCCCCATGCTTCTAGCCGTAGTATAGAGGCACTTGAGCCCTTTGAATGGTGCCTTTGATGCCCTCCCATTCTGATGCCCAAAGGGCCCCTTGGTACTTACCTGGGGTGTACTGCTGCATGTCTCACAGTTTGTAGGTTCTAGACTCTCTCCATCTCCTGCCTCCCCATTCCCCATCATACTTAGTTTAAAGCCTGATGTAGGAGGTCAGCTAACCTGTAAGAAAAGAGACTCTTACATTTTGCGGAGAGATGAAGCCCATCGCATCCCAGGAGGTCCCTTGCATGGAACTGTGGATTGTGGTCCAGGAAGCCAAAACCCGCACAATGGCACCAACTCCGGAGCCACAAGTTGCCTTCCCTGACACAGGTGATGCGATGTCTACTGCGACTGCTGACCGGGAGGATTGACGAGAAGACCACCTGCACCCGTCTTCCTATGCCTGGTCCCCAGAGCCCTGTAGTCAGTCAAGATACAGTCTGGACTACTCCTGGCCACATCATTTGTTCCCACGTGGATGAGGACCATGGGATAGTTGTCGGAGGGCCGGATGAGGTCAGGAATTCTTGCCATGACGTCCCTGATCCCGGCTCTGGGCAGGCAGGAGACCTCATGTGCCGTGGGATCCAGATGACAGATGGGTCCCTCCGTTCCTGTCAGCAAGGAGTCGCTCACAACGATGACGCAGTGTCTCTTCTGCTTATCTGGCTGGCCTTCAGCTTGCTCAGTGATGGCGGCAGGCCCCTCCAGTGCACTTTCTGCAACCGCACACTCCTCCAGTGCAGCCAGGACCTTGTATTTAACACACAAAATACTACAATTTTTAAGCCAAGGAATAAAAGTAGGTCTACTTTTATTTAGTGTACATTTAGTGAGAACCAGATTTTTTTTAACCAAAGAAGGATTTTCTAGAAGTATGTTAGTTACAATAATATGTGTCTTGTAATGAGGTGAAGACCCTGCATTTGGCTTATTAAATTGGAATGGAAGATTTTTTGATAAGACACGGTTAAAGAAGTGATCTTGAAAAATCATATATCATTGTAGTTAGCTGATGAGAGAGAAGTTTTAAACAAACATATTGCTAATCCAGTTTCTTGGTATATTCATTCTCTCCATATTATTATAACCTGCAACAACTTCAAATTGTTGTTCTTTATTAATAATTTACCACGATAACATTACATAATGGTTCTTTCAACATTGGCACACTTTGCAAATTATATATCATACAATTGCTGTTCTGGGCTTGAAGTTTTATGGCTTGTTTGGCTGATCTTTCCAAGCTAATGCTGTGTGAATTACAGGATTAGAATGTAATTTGTAACACGTCATTCAAAACATTTCATTTTTAAAAGCTAATTTAACATTAGAATTTGGCGTTGTAAGAATGTAAACCAATCTGATATATCTTCTGTACAAAAGAGCGAAGTGTTCATTGTGTCCAACGTGTCTTCTCTTATGTG